GGCTTAGGGTTTAGGGTTTAGACACCAGCTTGCTGTGTTTAGGTCATACAGTACGTAACCTACTGTCTGGGAACTGGACCTCTAAGGAGCCTTAAACCCTAAACCCCTTAACTTAAACCTAAACCCAAAATCCGTTAAATCCCAAAACTCTAAACCCTGCAACCCCACAGGCCTAAACCCCGAAAGCCCAAAACCCCAAAACCCTGAATCCCCAAAACCCTTAAGCCTAAGGCCGTTAACTCTCAAACCACTAGCCCTACACCCTAAAGCCCAGAGGTCCTCATGGCCCTAATTTTGCCCTAAACCTCTGCCTAGACCACCCATCTACCCTCCATAAAAACCCTCAATAGCCACTAGAATGTAACATAAGGGCTCCATTAAACCAAATCCTAAACTCTAAACCGACGAGGGCTCTATTCAAGGGCACTTGGGGGGTCCGCGTAAGCTTAAAGCCCTGAATCACTGTAGACCCCTTCAAAAGGAAACCTTATAAATAGATCGCCCTTGTAGAGCCCTTTACTGGAGACCCAAAAAGATCCTTTTAAAGGAACCCCTTTAAGTTCTTCAGGACCTGCCGCCAAACCCTCAAACCCTAAAGCCTAAACCCTGAAAGGGAGCTCTTAAAGGGACCCCTTAAGGAACCTGTGACAGGGAACCCTTAAACTGGGCTCTTGTTAAGGGATTTAGTTTAAGTTACTTATCATAAGGAAACCATATTATATACGATAGATCCCTATTATGGCAACTTAAATAAAACCCCAAACCCTAAACCCAAAACCCTAAACCCCAAACCCTAAACCCTAAGAGCCCTAAGAACCCTAAAACCCCCCTTAAAAAAATAAAAAAAAAACTCAGTAAAGGGGACCCTTGCCGCCTCGATCGGCGAGCCGGCGCTTGCAGCGGCTGTCAACTCATCGGCTCGACTCTGGGACTCCTCCGGGAAGTTCAACCTTACTGCGGGGATCCTTGGGCTTTAGGGGTTTAGGGTTTAGGGCTTTAGGGGTTTAGGGCTTTAAGGGGTTTAGGGTTTTTGCTGTTAAAGTAGAAGAGTTAGTGAAATTAGGGTATACTTAGGGTTTAAGGGTTAGGGTTTAGGGTTCCTGACTGCGGGGATCCTTTAAAATGGTTTAGGGCTTTAGGGTTTCGGCTTTGAGGTTAGGGTTTGGGGTTTAGGTTTGAAGGTTAGGGCTTAGTGTTTCGTTGAAGGAAACTACAAGTGGGGAGTTTAGGGTATATAGGGATTCTATAAGCCTTCTAAAGGTATATAGACCTTCTATAACGCTCCTATAACGGCAACTACCCACCTAAAAATGTCCTAGATACTGCGGGGATCCTTTAAACGGATCTATACGGGTTCCTTTGTGAAGGGATCTAGATGTGAGGGCTCCGTTACAGGGATCTAGAAAGGTTTAGGGTTTAGAGTTTTTATAGGGCTTTAGGACTACGGGTTTAGAGGCTCAGGCTCCTTAGGGTCTTTCAGGCATACTGTAAGCCAAAAAGTTTTGCAATTCAGCTACTAAGCAACAGGACGAGGTCCAGATCCATTGGCGAGTGCAACGTGACACAATCGCCAACATCCTTCCCGTCTAGGAGGAGCCTCTGTCTAAATCGTGGGGGCAAGCCATGTAACCGATGCAGACGCCGCTTCAAGCCCTTGACGTCGCATATCTCCTCCACAGGTATGCTCGCGACAGCTTCCCCGGAGAGCAGCCAGACTTGCAGCATCTTGCGGAAATCGTGCCAACGGTTCAATAAACCCAGGCACCTGCCACTACTAAGCCGGATTGTGCTGCTACATGCCACGCTGGCGAATACTTCAATTAATTAGGCCATTTAACCCTTAATCGGCATTCTCCGGGATGGCTATGCAAGGACTGCAGCATAACCCAAGCCGTGACCGTCAGGTAGAAACAACCTAAGCCAATGCTTCTAAACTCTAAATCGCTAGCACAAAACTCTAATGTGATCCTGAAAGAGGAGCACGGGACTTAGTATGCAAGGTGATAAGTACGTACCTTTATTGGGGCTATAAGTGCTGATTGAAAGTAAAGTTACCGTACTTGTGACCCTACAGTTGCTAAGTCCCATGATCTGCTATGTACACTACTAACGCCCCAGTCCCATTCCAGTATTTGTGGATTTGATCTGTTACTGTGCATACTCCCGACGGGACTGTTCACAGGGTCCGGTGCTTTGCTTTCTTTGCGGCTTTCTGCTCAGGGTTTAGGATCGTGGGTTTGTTGTGGGGTTCACGTGCAAAGATTCAAGGATTTGTGTTATAGGAATTGGGTTGTTGGGGAGTTTGGAGTGCAGAGAGCATGTGTCGGTTCCCCCGCTTTGCCACTGGATGTGAGACACAAAATGTCGGGTCTGCCAATCTGGGCTTGGCTAGCAAACACGCCTCAAAGACCACAAATCTCTGTCATGACCGAAACACCCAAGCTGTTGGACCCTAAACTCTAAACGAATAGCAGCCCGTCTCAAGCACCAAGCCGCACACACAGCACTCCCGACCCGAAGCATAGACCTTGAACTCTAAACTCTTATGACGCTTATGCGGTTTAGACTTTGTTGCGTCAACTCCAGCAAATCGGAGCCACAAGTACAACTTGTAGCAAAAACCATAAGAACGATGAGACTACTACTAGCAACCAATATTCGCACGAGCAATAACATGATGGGGACCGCCCACACCTTTACTCAAAAGGTGTCTTGCTCGATCATGCAGATCACTCTAAACCCTATCATTCGGGAGTATCACGCCCCCCAGCCGTTTGCATCTCGAAGACGGAACTGTGCCGGTTGAGCCGGGTAATTATTTACTACTTTACTATCTACGACTCTACTGTCTATTATTTTCTATGTCACTCTTAAACCGCGCCCCCGGCCGTTTGCATCTCTGCTGCATCTCGAAAACCCACAAATGCATGTTGAACCCCAAAGCAAGCCAGAAAGTTTGCATCTCGGAAACCCACGTTCGAAAGTTGAACCCCAAATTTGCGTGTTGAGCCAGCATCCCTGGTGGATGGGGCACTGGAGCGGCCTTAATGATTCGAATATGTTTCGGGGTACAGGCGGATATGTTTACTAATTCTTCCCACCCCTGACTACGAATGCAAACCCACTTCACTGCGGTCTTTAACAAAAACCTACCTCCAGGATGCCAAACTGGAAATATGCAGGGATATCATATTCACGAACCCGGAAACACTGGAGGGCTTTCAGTTATCAAGGTCCAGGTAAACCTTGAATCCGAAACCCCTCAAAACATGCTAGCCCCGGGTGTAGTGCCAAAGTTTGGAAACATGTTGGCAGCCATCCAAACACCTAGATCTAAGAAAGCATTGAATTCTGATTCTGACGTTGAGGCTTGAGGGTGGACCTTGACATTCTTTTTGCCGGAACCACAGCACATGCGCAGCATGTCTCCGTAGTTCTGTACCGACCACCGCCGTAAAACTCGGCTGTCTGTCTACTTCCTCCACCGTCGGCTGTTCCCAAGGTGGGCCGGAATTCATCCGAACTTTCGGAACGAGAAGTTGCAAGTGATGAGGACTACTGAAATGATCATATAGAAAACGCCACAACTCGCCATGATCTTGCCGAAGAATATGCAAGCTCCGGATAATTTCATTTTGATACCCAAAACGAACTTCTGGTAAAGCACGGATGCTGCAACGTAAGGAGCCAGGCGCAAAAGCAAGCGCAGTATGTCCATAAACTCTCGGGCGAGAGCTGTAGGTATCCCCACCTTAGCCTCGTTCTGCACTACAGGCAAGCGGTCGTCGTAGACGCGAACCGTTTTGAGAAGTGGACGATGTTCCTGGGCCCGGGCGATCCATGACAGGAAAAAACCGAACAGTCACACAGGATTATAGGGCTTAGGGCTTAGGATGCAGTATTTGCATGGGGTGTGGGATATGTTGATGGAGCGCCTTCGGGTCCAAGTTCTTAAATGCCT